AGCGGTCCATTTTTCGAGAAGTGCAGCATTTCATCGTCTTTGCTCACCTTCAACTCAACAGGGACGGCTTGGCGACCCGTGACATCCGACTCCCCGGTTGGGAACCAGTCTCTGTCCCTCACCAGCTCCACCAAGTGCACGAAAAACGGGTAGGGGACGCGGAAGTTGTTGCGAAAACGCCGCGCTTCCCGGGTCGTGTGATCTGTCTCGCCTGTCTCTCGCAGCTCCATGAGCTCCTGCCACCATCCCGACTTCGTGTAGTCTTTACGAACGTACACACGCCGCCTCTTCACCTCCCTCGACGCTTCATCGTCCTCTGTATCCAGCTCTAGATCGTCTTCGAAGTCTTCCATGATAACGTCCCAGACGGCGACGCTACGTTGCAGCTGCTGCAGGGAGGCAGTAGCTACCGCCGTGGTGGCGAAGGCAGCCGGCACATCGATACCACCACTTTCGGTTGCTGTCTCGGCCATTTGGCGGTGAACCACACGTCCCGCGGGCAATACAAGTGCACAGCCGAGGCGGGCGACGCCCAGCAGCCCTAAGAGCGCCGGCACTGCGACACGCATCTGCGGTAGCCGCTGTATTGTGCTGTGCTGTGCTGTGTGTGTGCGTGTGTGTGTGAGCCGGGCGGCGTAACCAGCGTTTGAATTGAATTTTTCGGGTGAGAAAATCCGGTTGGGCTTTCACCCGGATTCTGCATCAGAATCCGGGTGAAAGTCGACCGGATTTCTGAAACTGGAAAATGTTGACCCGAAAAACTAAAGAATCCGGGTCTATAAGAATCCCGATTTTGGCCATATCGGGATTTTGAGGTTTTTCAGGTCAAGAATCCGGCTCTATAAGAAACAGCCTAATAAAGAAAAAATTAAAAATCAAAGGGTAACGTACCAGCACCAGGCACTACGCGCCAGGGCATGGAAGGAAGTAACGGAGCAAACAGGACAAAGAGGCGGCAGATGGGCAGACAGCCAGATAGATGATCAAAAACAAAAGCAACAACAAAAGCGAGATCAAGGTACCCAACACAGCAGAGTAGGCGGGGAGGACATGAAAAACAGAAACACAGAGAGAGGCCAAGGCACAACAAAGGACATATATATGCATACAAGGTACTGCAAGGAGTGTATTGGGTTCTTTCGAGAAAAAAAAAAAGGAGGCAAACGCGGACCCCAAAAAAGAGAACGCGGACCCGTTCCGTTCTCGCAGGGTCCCCCCGCCTTGTTGTGTCATGCAGCGGACACACATTCGCGCGCAAGGGTTGAGAGCACCCACACAACCTCCTGCACACACCACTCTGTCAGTACCACTCATCACCCTCGACAATCTCCAATAGCCACCCGCTGTTAAACTTTCCCGCGCTTTTTCGTGAAAAGAAGAAACGGCCTCTTCTCCCGCGCGCGTGTCACCCTCATCACACCGAACCCAGAACAATGCGCGCTGATATCTTCTGGTCTGCTGTGTGGAGTTCTTGCTTCATCGGGGGCGTGATCCTCGGGAGCACCGGGCCAGCCAAGACCTTGGCCTTCGGTTCATCATCGCCAAGCCTTCGTGGAAGCAGTTCTATTCAGTCAAAGGTGCGTACAGAGTAGAGAGAGAGAACAGCTGGTCTCCCGCGCATTGGTAGAAGAAGCATGATGAGACCCGGGAATGTGTGTGGTCAAAGTTGTCACGAGGGGGGCCGTCGGCAGCCCTGGCTGCCCCCGTCTACCGTTGTTTTGCTTGGTGTTGATGCTCGGGGATCAATCGCGGTTTGTCGCACATGTTGGGAAGGGACAAGATGAGTGCTGCTATATACCTCCCGTATGGGTGTGCAGCAGCAGTAACGACGATGTATATAGACTATCCGCATCTACAACCTGGTCTGCTGTTGTGAGTTTTTGAACCGATGCCAATCTCCGTGCAAATCGTCTAAGATGGACCCGCGTAAAGTTGCTGCCGCCGCTGCTGTTGCTGCACTGCCTCTACCGGGGCTGCTGACCGGCGGTGTGCCAGATACCGCAGCGTGCACTCATGGCTGCATGTGTAGCCTATGCTTGCCATGACCCTGAAGATCCGCGCGTCTCGAACAAGCAGTTACTTATTCTTGTCCCCAACCCTTTTGTCCTTCTGGATTCTGCTGTTGCTTCTGTCAACTCGGTCATCATCCTGCTGTGGCTGCCACCGTTGCTGCTGTCGTTGCGGCTGCTGTAGCCGTCACAGCCGTCTGAGACCATTGTCCAGCGCAAGGACGAGACCGTTGCTGCCGAAAAGGACATCAAAGGTGAGCCAACATAACGGAGCGCAGTGAGAGACTCACCATGCTGGTTGCGTGTATGTAGACTAGAGGTTACATAGATCAGGTGTATAGACTAGACTATATACCAACATTTCGACTCAAACGACTGCGACTCATCGGTGCTCGGTACGTACACGTGCAGTTCTAAGAAAGAGCACATGGTCAATTCTGAACACCGTTCTATGCAGTTCCAGGGAGGGTCTCGACCAGCTCCGTATACTGTGCTCCGATAAGAACTGCGTTTGTTTGCGTGCATGTCTCTTGCGGGCCTGCTTGTGCTCGCTCCCCTTTCACTGACAGCGTCAATCAGCACCAAGCAGCAGGAGGAAGAAGAACCCGGCGCAACAGGGGGAGACGAAGACGCTGCTGCCTCCATCACCCCCCCCACCAAGAACCGTTCCCTGGGTTCTGAACCGGACGGCGATCTCGACTCCAGCTTAGACGAGAGTCTCGTTGACGACAACGAGGTGCGCGAGTCGTTGCCTTTGGGTTGTTGTGTGCACTACTGTACGCACTCAATATGCTGGTCAAAGTCAGAACGATCAGGCGCTTCCGAAAATCTCACATGCGTCTCTATTCAAACGAGTTCGAGTCTACCCGCCTGCAGGAGTCGAAAAACAAAGGTTAGCAGACTTGCATGTATCACCTGTTGCAGGTGATCTATCACCTATTATTGCAGGTGATCGACAAACGCTAAACCATTTGACTACTCAAGTCAAATACAGACTAAACATTAGAATAGCTAGCTACTCAGTTCTCGTAGTCTACAACAACAGTGTTGTTTTTTAGTCTTTCAGGTCATGGCTAAACCATTAGAATGGCTACTCAGTGCTGAGGTGTTGACACGACCACCAACTCGTTCTGTCCCGATAATCTGTCCACGTACGTACGTGACCCGTTAACAAAATATAGCCATCGCTGAGTGCGTACGGTCTACCACGGAGCAAGATCGCCCAGCGACTCAACAGGCTCAACGGAGGGCTGTGGGGCCCCACCGAGGAAGAAGAGAGAGAGATCGCCAAGGAACTAGCGGCTCTGCGCGAGGTGCGTACTTTGCTACGCACGATGCGTTTGTTTCCCCAAGGCTCGTCGGTGCTTTGTGTACCCTACCTTGGTTCCTCTAGGAGTCGGCGATGTATCTTGGCAAATCTAGCTCTTCGATACTCCATACATACGTGCATTGGCCCTGAGCACCGATTTCCTGCTGAACGAAGGACCTGGGAAGCCTCGGCAGACACAAGAGCATGATCTAGCCTTCCACCAGTGTTTTTACGCATCCCCTCACCAGCTTCCCCCCGGTGTTTGCCATCGGGGTTGGGTTTTCGTCGCTTGGCAACGACGTTGTAAAACAAGCCGCCCCCCCCGGTGTTTGCCATCGGGATTGGGTTTTCGTCGCGAGTTGTAAAACAAGCCCATTCACTTCGTGAACTCGGCAACCAGGTTACCGTTTTATTTTTTTACCTCCCAGTTTTTTATTGGCGGTAATCATAATGGTAGATCATGTGCGGGGTCGAGAACCCTCACTCCGCGCAAGGGGGATGATCGCACCACGTTGTGTNCGTACTTCTACACGCCTGCACGACATGGGTTTCACCACAATCCCATGGGTTCTGTAGACTCTCGATGTGGTCGGCCTCCTGGGGGAAAACTGCAGCTGGGAGGATCATGGTGACAACACGCCTTCCGCCACTATGGTGGGGGAGCTTGTGATCTACAGGTAATTGAGAACCGAAGCGGTCAATTCGATTTGTTCCCCCCTCCCTCTCCCCTCGGTGATTGCCATCGGGGTTGGGTTTTAGTCGCTTGGCAATGACGTTGTAAAACCAGCTTCCCCGCGGTGTTTGCCATCGGGGTTGGGTTTTCGTCGCTTGACAACGACTTTGTAAAACAAGCCAATTCACTTCGTGAACTCGGCAACCAGGTTACCGTTTTTGTTTTTTACCTCCCTTTTTTCTTTTTTGGCGGTAACCATAACGGTGGTCGAGTAGAGCATGTTGTACGGGGTGGAGAAGCCTCACTCCGCGCAAGGGGGATGATCGCGCCACGTTGTGTTGAAATGGTCAAGCACCCTCGAGGCAGTTACACAGTGCTTACAACGGTCTCTGGAAATAAAGCACCAGAAAATATATTTAGTCATACGCAGCTGTCATCCGTATGCAAGCAAGTAAGCACAAGATGCCGAACACCTCACGGCGCTTCGCGCTTGGTGATGTGAGAGAGCCTGGTCTGGTGGGAACCCGGCGTGCTCCGTCCCGGCTTTTTAGGGATGCGAGGTCAATTGTCTAACGACTACGGCATGCACGACTATGAGTACACCCCCCCCATCCCCCCCTCACCAACTGCGGTCAGTTGGAATACGCATCTAACATTCGAAAAATACTGCTGTAATCTTCACGGAGAGCAAGTACACCTGACGACATAGAGTAGAGCTCTTTCGTTATATCCTGCTAGAGTAGAGCTTTTTCGTTATGTCCTAGACGTGCTTTCACAAGCTCGCGACCAAATGTTTTTTCTCCAAAAGAAAATGTCTTAATCGACAAGCTTGCCCCCTCACCCCCCCCCGACATCCCACAAAACCAGGAGGATCCCTCGTCGTCCCAAGATGGCGACATCGAGCTGCTCTACTACTCTTACGACTACGACTTCGAGGACGGTGGACTGTCGTACAGCTACGAGATGCACAACTTCTGAGCGGGGGGGGGTGACTGACGATACAAGCTGGAGAGGCGGTTAAGTGTCGGCCGGTTGCTTCGAGCCGTCACGGGTCGTGCTTCTTTGGAGATTCTGCCGATATACCGGGGGGTGCGTACAGTAGTGCCCGTTGAAAGGCCACGCACGGTGGGGGACGAGCATGTCGCGCGCTCCTCTCTCCCTATCCATTCCTCCCCTGGAAGAGTGGTTGGCGGAGAAGAGCGGGGATAGGTCAACGACACTCGGACACTCTGGCTGGCGGAGTTCGCCTTTCTACGTTGCCCGTTCAGATGTTTTGTTCGTACAATGTGGTGGCATCGTTGTATAGTAGAGAGGAACAGCGTCTGTTTTTTGCCGGATAAACGTCAGCTCCCTTGGGATGATTGACTTACGAAATCGCAGGCTTTTAGTAAAACATTGTTGTGTCCCCTTGGCGTCCATTTACAATAACGAATTTTTTATGCCCTTCACGCGTGTTTACCTTCAAGGGCGGAGCAAAAGCGAAGACCTTTGTTATGTTCAGTCTTCTTCTTTTCAGTCTTCTTCTGGAGGTTTATGTGGATGCATACTCTATTAAGTGTTTGTTTTGTGCTGTGGATTTGAGCGTCGCTATTTCGTTGTGAGCTGCACTTTTTGTCGCTATTTTGTTGTGAGCTGCACTTTTTTTCGTCGCGCTCTCAATTGTTGGTGTTATAATCTTATTCTTGGCACTTGCTGTGTCGTTTTCTAATCTTATTCTTGGCACTTGCTGTGTCGTTTTCTCTTGTGGTGTAGTCTAAATTTAAAACTGATTTGTCTCACGCGTGATTTAGTTTCTGCATGCATGCGTGTCGTGTTTGTTCTCTTGCAGTTGGTTAGCTTGTGACGGTGTTGCAGTCGGTTTTACAGATGACCGCAGTGTGCTCGGGTACATATATGAAAGCTGGCGGAATAGTGGGGGGTGTGCGCATGGCAGGCTCCTAAATAGTTGTTGGGGACGGGAGGCACTAGTCGTGGTTTGTGTTCGTCCCTGCCCTTCCCTGGTGTCCAGATAGAAGCAGGAGAAGGCGCATGCTATGATGATGATACCCATCGCGCTGTAGGTATAATGATGGTTGGGGGTTGGGGGTTTGGGTGGGGCCATGCTGTCCTTGGACATGACGGTGGCACTGTTGTATAGTACAAAATGGAATAAAAAAAATACACTTGCGAGTCCGTAGTCAGCAGGAAACCCGAATTTTTTGGGTACCATTGAGGTGCTGGGTCGAAACGTGTTGGGGAGGTTCCAGTCGAATCCCCGACATCTTCGATCGTTTTCGATGCACACCCTCGACCCATCTGCAAGGTTTGCGGACTGAAGGAGACGGGCCTTACGGGATCATCGGTTGTAAACCTGTCATCTACCACAAAGCACATTTGCTGCTACTGTTGCTTCGCACAAGTCGTAGTTGGGTGTGTCTGATGCAATTTCTTTTGCCGTCCATGGTGGCAAGGTAACAGGTGAAATCATCCTTGTTGGCACTGAAACTTTTATGCTTAACCACCCAGCTCATCTTCAAACACGGCCCCCGTTGGGAGCGCAACAAAATCCGAGGCCGTGTGACCTAGGCCTAGGCTCCACAAATAAAAATTCTGGAGTTTCAACTTCAGGCTCATCGGACCACGAAGAAATCAAATTCACCATGCAAAGCGCAAACGACATAGACGCGGACGCACGACCGACTTGTGTCTTCCGGCAGCGTTCTTAATGCTAACCGGAAGCTTCACCAAACAAACCAAAAGGCTTCAAAGCACGGGCGGTATTTGACAGGCGAAAGAAACAAGACCCTCCTCCCCCCCCCCGTCCCCCTCTTAAGAGCCGAATTCTCCCCGCGTTGGGTTTCCAGCTAACGCCGCCGCCCCTGGCTCTTCCCTCCCCTCCACTAGCTCCTCCGCCTTCGACTTCAGCGGCACTTCCTCCCCTGCCGCTCCTCCCCCTCCTTCTTTGTCGGCAACAACAACAACAGCGGCAGCAGCAGCTGCCGCATCCTCAGCCGTGCCTGCGGCCGGAGGACTAGCCGGCGGGAGCGGCGTAGACAACGCCGCCAATGATGCGGCGGCTGCTGTTGCGGAAGATGCCGATGCCGGCGGCGACACCGCCCCCGCCGCTCCCTGCGCAGTCGTTGTCGTGGCTGTCGGGGTCGACGGAGCAGAAGGCACCGCCGGCCTTGGCGCTGGTGGTGGCTCGTAGATACCGAGACTCTGCAAGGCGTTAGGCGGCAGTCGCGATGGTTGTGCGGTGGTGTGGGCGATGCCCGTGTTTGCATTATAGGTCTTGTCGTGTCAATGTCGGCGGTTGTAATTCTTGAATTAGCGAGTGGGGTAGGCGGGGATGGGGATGGCGGCAGAAGGAACACAAACGTGGCGAGGCCAAAAAAACAGCGCGCCAAGGGCGGACGATTGTGATTCCACGCAGGTAAAATCGAAAGAGCGACTCGCTGGGAAGTTCGACGACGCGGCGCCCGCAATGGAGCACGACGCATTCATGCACTCCGCGACATCTTGTTTGCGGGGATTTGAGGACGAAGGTAGATGCGCACTTCGCAGGATCTTGAAGCGAAATCACCTCCGCTGAACCCGCAGAACATGTATGCTTTGTCAACTGTATCTTTAGAACAGGCGCCTTTTACACCAGACGCGTGAGCCACCAATCCCCCTCCTCCACCGCATACCGCAGCCTTTCCAGGAAAAAACAAGGTGGTTATGGTAAACCGGCACGCAAACCTCGACAACCACACTCCTTGCACCAGGACCGCGCGGAGATGAGCCCCTCCCTTTTGTTTGTTGCTCACCTCCAAAGACCCCAAAAGCCGAGCGCACAGCTTCTCCGCCCTCTTCCCCATCGTCACGGCTTTGCCGCCATCGCTGTTAGCAGCGGCGGACGGGGTCTCACCGAACAGGGCCGCGAAGCACAGGGCCACGTGAGGCACCGCTTGCTCCGCGAGGGCATCGCAGGCCAACCCCAAGGCACGGAACGTGGTGTTGAGGTACAGCTTTCCTCCGGTCCCGGCCGCGGCCCCCCCTCCTCTCCCCGAAGGAGGGCCACTGCCACCAGCACCCTGCGTGTCGTCGTGGCGGGGGGG